GGTTATCGGCTACATGAGTTTTAAAATATTGCCATATCTGATATCGGCCAAAATCCCAATATCGTGCATCCCTAATAATAAAACTTTATTGATCTCACATTGGAGAAATTTACCTCCAATTACCAGCGGGATGTCAGACCCAGCGTTTTTTGTCAATGGGAAGAGAGCCAAATGCCGGTTTTTAGCAGGTCAACCCATGTTTGAAAAACCAGGGTTAACCTGCTTATTTCTGTGGGAAAGAGGTTTATGACTTTCCAGTAGGATAACTCTGCATTTTACCCCTGTCAGATCTGGCCACCTTTTCTGTCCCTGCTGGAAACAGGCCTCCCCACAACATTAGCCTCATGAAACATGAGGCTAATGTCTGTTCAAGGTGGTGCAGACTTTTTTTTTTTTACCTCATAAAGAATTTTAAAATAAAACTGCACTAGATTGACCACAAGTACAAAGAAAACTAAATACTAAAGCACTTCACCTAACCACCAATGGAATAGTACCAGTTTGCACCATAGTGGTTGGGTCCCTCTATGACACATGGCTTATGGCAAATCAAAAACTGGAGCTTTGATTGAATACCTTTTTTCCTGCCTCTCGTCAGTAAAGGGGAAATTTGAGGATTTGACGAATTCACAAAAAGTGTTAGGTGTAAAACTGTCACGCACCATGTAGCCATTCACACACCAATTTCATTTAGGTGCAAATCTGAAATAGGTAGGCACATTTTTGTGGGTTCTTGGACAAAAAGGTTAGAGTATGGTTACAAGATACCCTCTATTGCCACTCTTCATTTTTTATTCTCTGTTCAGGTGAAAGACGACGGAAGACAGTGTGTGTTCGGAAGAGTGATCACCTTGAAGTGTCGGACCAACGCTGTGAGCATTTACCTCATCCAGTTGCTGTTACTGAGCCATGCAACTCTGACTGTGAAGTCAGGTAGGAATTAGGGGAAACAACTCAGAAATTAAATCAACATGTACACCCTCAAAGAAGTCCGACAGGTACTTTCAAACTTACAACCATTCTTTTTAACCTTTCTTTTCTCTCAGATGGCATGTCGCTGGAAAGAGTGAGTGTTCAGCTAAATGCGGCCCTGGCTACCGCAGCCTTGATGTTCAGTGTATGAAGTATAGCCAGATGAAGAGAAGGAGTGAGAGGATGGAGGCTAGCGTCTGTGCAGACATTACAAAACCTCAGACGAGAGAGATTTGCCACGGGGATTGTCTGCTTAAGAGCTGGCAGTACAGCGCCTGGTCACAGGTAATATCTGCAGAAAAAATTGTATAAAGATAAGACACATAGAGCTATGGCCTTACTGCAGAAAATGCATTAAGAAACCTTCCTTTTCAGTGTTCTAAAACGTGTGGACGTGGGATCCGCCACAGAGAGTCTTACTGCATGAACAACCTGGGACGGCGATTGGTAGAAAGAGAGTGTAGTGAATACGAGAGGGTGGTAACCGAGCCCTGCAACGACCAGCCGTGTCCAAAATGGACTGTCAGTGAGTGGAGCGAGGTGAGCCCTCACAAATACACACTAAAAACATTCATCATTTTTGTGGGGGGTTCGTAGTGCTTCATTTGCAGTGAGTAAACCTCTTGAAATCCCTAAAAACCATCAGTGTCTGGTGACCTGTGGGAAAGGAATGAAGCACAGACAAGTCTACTGCACCACGGAAGCTGGGGAGAAAAAGCTGAGCGAACATTTCTGCGACCCGTCCAGTAAACCATCCACCGTGGGGAGCTGCGAACTCCCCGGGTGCGCAACATGGCAGGTCGGCATCTGGGGAGCGGTGAGTTCAACAATCATACACTCATTAATACAACTTTCCCTGGAACAAATGCCTACAGTGCCTAAGGTGACCTTTATGAAAAATACACGTAGTAATAGATGCTTTCTGAAAATTAAGGTTTTTTTCAGTTGAAATTTAGCAAGTCTTTCCCTTTACATTCTATAATTTTTAGCACAAAAAAAAAACATTTTGGAACTTACCAGGCATTTTCCTGGAGTCTTTTTCCTTTATCAGGTATGTCACAAGGTTGAATAGACCTCTTTTTGAAACAATCGCTCTTTCTTATTACTTTAACAGAAACTACCAGGTATATTGCTGTTTTTTTCGTAATACATTCTAGTAACTTAGACAGTAATTGCAGAATGTCTGAGAATTTCCCGGAAAGGACCATTAATTTGTGGAAGGCGACTTTAAGAGTTTAGTCTTTAATGCTACGGACCTCGGTTCTGATCCTGCTTGTGTTACGGTTGACATCTGGTGCAAAAACTTTGGCAAGTCCTAAAAACTCACTGTGGGAACCCCTGAATATGGCAACAGCTGAATGGACACAAACAAACCTTAAAGTCCCAGAAAGTCGTTTTTTTTTTTTTTTTTTTCAGAATAAACCTTTAATAAAGAGCGTTACTTCATTTTTCACCATTTAAAATTTCTGCTTCTTTTAATTTATCGACTGACTTCTACGTCATCTGATAGATAAACTCCATATACCCCCTCTGCAATTCTAACGTCCATTTTCTAAGAGATACTTCTAATTCTGTTGGAAATACTGAAATAACATTCTCTCACACATGCAGCACCAGGTTCTCTTTTTTCGCTCTTGTCATTCATATGTTTAACTCTCAAACTTTGGATTTAACTCTATTTAGCCAACTCAGAAAATATTTCTTTGCAATTCATTCACTAGTTTATATGTGTGTGTGTTATTTAGCTTTACATGTTTATGTAAAGTAAAATAGCCATATTTTTAGAGGTGGAGGATATCTACCCGTCTTTGCTTGTTTGATTGTAATTTACTGGTCAAATAAACCAATCCCAGCACTTCCTCTACTCTTGTGGTATTTCCAGACGTGATTGAGTGGTATGTGAAGTAACAATTAGGTGAAGAGTCAGGTTGATTCTGTGTGTAAATGTATGTGTCTGTATATAACGGGATGTCAGAGTCCTAATCAGCCTCCCTTTTACAGGCCTTGACTGAGCTAATGTCTAAAATATTGACCTGAAAAAACAAACCGGCTTTAACTAGCTGTTTTATTATTTCTGTTTATGTTTATGTCTGTATGTGTGTGGCTTTGTCTTTCAGTGTGCGGTGACCTGTGGACACGGATACCAGATGAGGGCTGTGAGATGTGTCCAAGGGGACTACGGTGACAGAGTGGATGACAGAGAGTGCAACGCTGCAGCGAGGCCCAGAGACACTCAGGTAAGATTAGAAAAATGTACTTAAAAAAAAAAAAAGACAGATAATTTAATTGGACCAAGCAAATAATTCTGCTTACACTCCATAAATCTTTGCAGATATAAAATTATATATTGTATTTTAAGAGATATGATGCACCTCATTGTGTTTAAAAAAAAAAGATTGTATCTCAATCATACAAAGATTCTTTTTTTATATATATATATATATATATATATTTGTGTAATTCTTATGTCCAGTGAATATAAATATATTATTGCCTTTTTACTGACACAAAATATTGCATATCTTCCTTATTTTGCAAACAAAATAAATTTTCATACCCATTAGTGTTTTGAGCTGGTACAAAATAATGTCTGGATAATACTTTGTAACATTTTTGTTCTGCGTGTATATTATGTAGCAAAAAATAATCTAGATAAAAATGTGCTTTTTTAAAAGTAATTCAATAGCCTGATAAACCAGACTAAATGTGAGATTAAATGTGTAATTTAGTCTGGCCCTGATGAATGAGACATCAGAAGATTGTTGATGATAACAACACGTTCTTTTTCAAACCGTGTCTGTGCCTATTGGCCAACGCTCTGACCAATGAGCACAACTGACTGTGACGTAGGAAGCGCGACAGAAAGCTGGTGGGGGAAGGTAAACACACATAGCCTGTCGGTAAAACGGTGAATACGTCCTTCTTCAAAATAAATGAACGTAGAGCCTCTTCCTGATCATGTTTCAACAGAAATCCCAAGTCTAATCCTTCCAAAACTGATTCCAAAGCTGAGTCAAATGAGAACTGTTCAATAGTTGTTGCCATCTTCCGTGTTGTGCTTTCTCCAGTGTCATGCAGCTTAGTCATCACACCCTCAAAACCCCGCCCACTTTGCATCCAAATATCTAAAACACATCTTTGCATTGTGATTTGCCCGCCAGTTCTAGGGCCTGGGGCATTAATTGAGGTTAGACCACTCGTAGGTAAAAATGATTTTGGCCGCTGGCGGGTTTGGTTAGTTTACTAGGCTAGTAATTCAATGCAATGCTTAAGTCTGTTAGTACAATACTTAAGTTTACCTAAGAAGCAGTTTTGATTTTTTTAAGAAGTAATTGTTGACATGTTTTATAGGACTGTGAGATGCCTGCGTGTCCACGAGCCTCTGCACCTCAAATTACACCTCGGCCTGATAACTCTGTTCAGCTTGTGACTGAGTGGAGATATGGCTCCTGGACGGCGGTAAGAACTTTCGAGTTTGATGCTTTTTTGTACTTTTTTTTCTCGAACTGGTGAATGGGTAGGTAGGTAAAATAATTTATTTGGCAAAAACAACAGATTATTGGTAATTAATAGAATATTCACATAATTTAGCAATCAAGTAATTGTTAACTACAGTATGCAGACAATATAATTCACCTGTTTCTGAAAGAATAACCTACTTAGAGCAGCAATTAAGCCAGAAGGGTGCCAAAATGTTACACATTTATAGAGCAGACCATACACAAGTAGTTGTTGAAGTTTGCTATGCCTTTTTTTTTTTTTGTATTTTGAGGATCCTATATACAAATGATTGACGTAAGTATCTTGCTGTTTTTCAGGTACAATGTGTTCTACATTGCTGTTATTTTTTTCTTTCATGCAGTTGCCATTTTCAGGGTTACATGTTGACAAATATGAATCCAGACACATAGATTTAGAGGCCCCTCAATCTTCCTTATAGTTTGCATTGTTAAATAAATGAGATGCAGATACAGTTTCAACATGACCATACTGTACATACCAAAGAGGATTTTCCCAATTTGGTATGTCTTTCAGACACACACAGATCAATGCTCTTGTATGCAACATGCATATATTCTTGCATGATACATTAAGTTGTATATCCTATTCTATCTCAAATAGGTACCGAGATAAAGAGAGGTTGACTATCATACATATAGGGGCTCCTTAATAAAGTACAAATTCAAGTTAATTCTGGCTAAGGAAGACTGATGGTTTGAGAGAGGGGTTAAGGAAGCCATCTTCGTTAACCTGGAAAAAACATCTCTCAGCAGAGGAGATGCTCTTAGACATAACCTTTCACCTACTGTACTTACAAAGCACTTTTAGGAACAATACTCAAAAGATTCACTCCTCATCTACCCTCACCTCACTTCAATGAGACATGACCGAAACCACTAGGGCTAAAACAATTAACCGGATTTATCGTGATTAATTGATTATTGAAATAATCGTCAACTAATTTAGTAATTGATTAATTGGTAAATGGAGTATAGAGACTCTAAATCATGCCTTTAGCTGACAGAGCAACCAACTTAGAACAGTTATTATACCAAAATTGTAAAAAAAAAATATGTGTTCCTTTTTTGTTTTTGATTTTTTTTTTTTTTTTCGTCTGTCAGTATGCTCTATCCAGAACACCTCAAGTGGAAAAGTTAGCGTGTAGGATTAAACTTATTTATCAACTCCCACTCATACATTTATTGGTCGCTGCCATGTTAAACCTCTTTATTTTGCAATTGGAACCGTTTAAAATATTTTTGTAACTGTCATGTGGCATCATTATTATTTTAAATTCCACTAGCAAACTTAGAAGCTTCTTATTTCCTTCCGTTCCCCCAGTGAATCTGGCTTTCTGTGTTCCTTTAATGAGGGTAACTCAGAGTACAGTTAGCTGACTGATATCTCCAAATATCCTAAATATTATGATAATATACCAATATTTAAAAGAAATCTCATATGTAGAATAAGTCCACTCAGGAAAACTACTCTCTAGTTATTATAGGGTAATTCCTCTTTCTGGAACAGGCTTTGTTATGAATTGCTTTTTATTGATCATAATAAATAAAGCAGGAAAACAAAGATATACTGTAAAAAGAAAACTAAAGGAATTTTGATCAAATGAAAGGACAATGCAAGCCTGGAGTTCTGAAAGCATCAACTACGAACTGTCTGAACGTGGCAAGAATGAAAACAAAACTTGATACGAAGAACACAAAAAAATATCCAGAAGCCCAAGCTGAAAACACACAGCTGGAGGCCTGGAATTGGAAAATCACCAAGGGAGTTACTGCCTAAAGAAATGCAGGCATCAGTGTTTATAAATTGAAACTTGAGGTTTTGCAGTACTTAGTTAAACTGACACAGAGAAAAATATGAAAATATAAAATGCATTTGGGTAAAACCACAGTCTAGGTGGCTATTCCTGTTGATCATATTCAAAGTGGCAATTTTTTTTTCTGTTTTCATGATATAACTACATAGTCCATAGATTACCAGAGACCTGTTCTATATCTGGAGGATTTACAGAGACCCACAGCTTAGCTAAATTTGATAGATTGGAGCAACGTACAAAAAAATCTGGCCTTTATGAATAACAAAAAGTAGAAGCCAATGTTACAGGAAAGCAAATACAAATTATGTTTGCTAGAGTTTGCTCCGGTCAGGTGAGACTACAAAGGTAAAGCACGGTGTTGGCAGCATCATCCCGACTGGGGATCCATTGGAAAGCTTAGATGAAATCATGATCATATCTTGGAATAGCTCTGTCAAAGTCGAGATTCTAGTCCATTTTAAGAATCCTTGGCCACATTTGAAACATGTTGTCCGACATTGTCTAACTCTCCAATTTGGCAAAAGCTGCTGATGACATTTGCAGAATAAAATATACAATAAATATGTTTCTTGGAAATAAACATCTCCCTTGTGAATTTAGCTGACCATAAATGCACTTATAGAACGTTTATTAAGTATTTGATAGGATCTTTTAGAACTGGAGGTTGTGTTTATCATTTTGGTGGGATGATAGTGCAATTTAGTTATCCATATTGAAACTTTTAAGTGACATAAATTCAAAATAATCAATTTTTAATAGAAAATTATGTTTTTCTGCTTGCACTGGATCATTAACTATGTGCCTTTTCTGTCCAATAACTTCTTATCTTTTTTATTTCTTTATAGTGCTCGGTGTCTTGTGGCAAGGGGAAGCGTGCACGTTATGTCAGTTGTAGAGATGCTCAGGGAGGAGTGGCTGATGAATCGTACTGCGTTCACTTACCCCGCCCACCGGAGTTCTCCACCTGCTTCAGCCCCTGTGGCCAGTGGCATGTCAGGGAGTGGTCTGCTGTAAGTAAAAAATCTGAAGCGTACCAGTTTCATAAGCACAGGAATCATATGGTTTATATTTCAAGTTAAGTCAAAATCATCCTGAGATGATGCCTTGATCTTGGAGACTTTTTTTAATTATCATTATGCATTTTTTAAAATAATTTACTATTGTGTTTTTTTTTATTTCAAGACTTGTGATCATACAGTATCAGAAATTCCCTGTTAAATAAGTTTTTAAATCCAAAGTTAGGGAAAACTCCCAGTTGTATTACTGCAAATTGAATATACCACAATAGTTCTTGTACTTTTTTTGTCTTTTTAAAATTTACGATTTTTCACAGTTTCAGGCACAGATTTTCCCATGAAAGAAGCTGTTTATGGGAATAATTAAAAGTCAAACTCTTTTAACATTGGGGAAATTATAGATGACAGAATATCTGTGTAGAAAAACGATAGTAAATAATTAATGAAAAACAATTCTAGTAGAATAGATCAAATAATGCTCAGCAGGAATTCAATCCCCAAATAAATTTTGTCCACAAACTGAGCATTCAAATGCCTGATGGTGACCAACAAATAGTGGAAAAAGTAAAACTGACATAGTTGATGTTGATATAGATTTCTTTAAATGTCCTATCGCTCTCTCCAAATTATTAAACATTACAACTGAAATGTTTTATCTCCAAAATCATTCCAAGTCTGCTTAAACAGAAAGATCAACAAGGCTTGGAAAGCTGCTTTAATCTGACAGCACTTCACACTTACATAGCTTCTATATTTGTTTCTGTATTGTAGATATACCTGTCTAAACACATATATGTGTCATTATTGGTTTAAGCGATCTGACCCACATGCAGAGAACCACTCAGAGACTAAGGGAAAACGTTTAACAGGTTTATTGAATGTTGATGAAACACATAAGTAGGAGGCAGAACTCAGTGGCCTGGTGAACCGGAACCGGAAAGTCTGAAGGAGAGGTCCCAGTGATCAGTTCAGGGACCGTAGGAAAGTTGACTGAGGCTTGAGGGAATTAATCCAGAGGAGAGGAAACTCGTTGGAGAGCGGACAGGTAGAAATACGTTGGACCCAGAGGAGTAAAGGAGCGGACTTTAACTTGGTTTTCCAATGAGGACTTGAACGGAGTATGTGGAGGTTAACCCCTGCTCAGTGTGTACTCAGTAATCCTTCCAGGGGTAGAAGGTCCAGGTTATCCAGTTACACAGGAAAAGGCTTCCTGCCGAAGAGCAAAGACAATAACAACATTCGACTCAGAGAAACAAAGCTTCGGTTAGACTCTGCTAATCTCAGCTTGGCTGGAATACCCAAAACTGGCAAACACTCTGGCGTCGAGGTAGAGACAGCCCGCTGCTCAAATGCTCCTCCGGTAATGATCCAATGAGCCACAGGTGTGCAGGGAGGCCCAACGAGGAACAGGGCACCACCTGGTGGTGGAGAGAGAAAAACACAAAAACAGCCCACACAAACTGGATTCCTAACAACATGGAAAATCTTAAAAACATGTCATCTCTGTTTTGCTGTGTACTTTAGGTAGAGCAGTTTGCTGAAATTAGCAAATGCCATCATCTTTATATACTGTTGTTACGAATTGTTGGTAATTGGACTCTTAACATAGTGTATTTCAGTATGGTTCTAATTAATTACAGGCTGTCCAGACAGAAAAAATCTACAATCAGTGCAGGATTATTTTGTCGTTCTACAGAATCTAGAGGCAAGTAGAAATGCAAAAAAATAAAAAATAAATAAATAATTCAGTTATTTGCTCAAGGAAGAAATGTTGTATACTGAAAAAAGCAATTTGACATATATAGTTATGTGACTAAGGTAAAATTATTACTTGTTACATTTTGGCTAGATCTTCTTATGCACTTTTGAAATAAATGGTTAAAAAAGTACTTTTTTGATATTTGGCAATCTCTTCCTTTTCCCTCATCCAGTGTTCAGTTACATGTGGTGTTGGAAGGGCAACCAGACAAGTGGTCTGCTCCAACTACCACCAGCCAGTGGACCAGTCTTTCTGTGACCCAGATGAGAGGCCTGCAGCTGAGCAGGAGTGCACCACTGCTCCATGCCCATCCACCTACAACCATCAGCACATTTATGAGCAGCCATATGGATATCCTCATGATCCAGGACATCACCCGGGACACAGTAGCTGGAACGTCCCGTCAGCAGACAACCAGTGGAGGACTGGACCATGGGGCGCAGTATGTTCAGCATACATAGCATGTTTTAGACAACAGCAGTGAGGAAAATATTTTTTACCTGTACTTTGACTGTACAACTATATGATTTTGCTCTATTATTTTGTGAGTCAAGATAATCTTTGAGGTTTTTGGGGGGAGGAAGCAGATGTTTTAGGGGTTTTGATCTCTCGGAGCTGAAGGCCATACAGGGTAAAAGACTATTAGATACAGATCCTTTTTATTGTGTATTGTGTGTTCTGACAATGAGCATGTTGGAAAATCTGACAGGTTTTAGAACAATTGTAAATCCTAAGGTCCAATGAAGCTGCAGAACGATCAACTTTGATCAAGGTAAAGGGTTATGTTTTGTAATCTAATATGAGTTAATTTAATTTAACTTTTTATATTAATGTTATTCCATGTTGCTAGTCCCATATTAAATAAACCCTCCCGACACCCTGCTCAGGCTAGTTTAGGAGGAAAAACTTGAAGTTTGTGCTGTCCTCCCCCACATGCAGATAGTACTGAGTGTTCTGCCTCCCTTCCACAGAGGGGATGCATCACTATAATTTGAATCAGCCTTCCAATTACCAATGTCAAGGCAAAAATGTTCCCTGACTTTTTTTTAGAAAATGTTGCAAATGCAAAAAAAGCAGCTGTTTTGTTCATAGTTATATCCTCTTGGTGGCGATGGAAGCACTTTGCCATGTGTTAATGTGTTAATGGTTAAGATTTTGGAAAATATCTTAATGGCATAATTCCATCATTGGATGAAAAAAAAATCTTTTGGCCATTTTACTGTTATTTAATCCTGACTGATTCGGGAGAAAATATCAATATTAAATATTATAATATCTTTTTAAAACATGAATATAAAACTATAAATCTTACTGCAATGGTTTCTTTTTATTTCGGCTTCGTCATACCACCCCAATAGATCAGGCCTTGATCAGCAAGAGTACAGCTCTGTGTGCTTTCTGGTTGTGATTTCACATCTAAATAAGGAGAAACCCTTATAGAGTCATTTTAAATGCTTTAAAGGGTTTAAATACAAGAATTTTTGCAGACCATCATCAACATATTATTTATTATCTGATGATATTGGTGGGTTAACTTCAGCTCCCTTCATCACACATAGAAGAACACAGAGAGAACAGAGAAACTGATCATAAGATAGGATTTAAATATAGGGCAATCCATGAAAAGAGAATCTGTAAAAGATGTGAGATGAAGGTAGAAGTTCAACAGCTCTAAAAATGTAGCCTGTGCTGCAGAAAACATTTCAGATCAATGGCCCATTCAAAGTCTCGGGCAGCTGTACTCCTATTTAGAACCTGTGGTGATTCTTTAAAAGTTAAGGCTGTCATATGCACCCCACCCCACCCCCCTATAATAACTAGTTTTATGTTACATAGCAAAGAACAACTGGATAAACTGTCAATCTTTAGGATTTCTACAGATATTAGTAGAATTAAGTTGCAATTGCAGACTTAGCAGGTATAAATTAGAGCTGAAACAATTAATCAGATTAAGCAGATTATTTGGGGTTATTTGATTATTGAAAAATTTGACAACTAATTTAGTAATAAATTAATCGTTAACTGGAATATTGAAAGTCCAAAACATGCCTTTAGCTCACAGAGAAACCCACTTAAAGCAGTAATCATATCAAAATTGTAAATAAATATATAAACATTTTGCATTTAAGATTTTTTTTTTATTCCATCTGTCAATCTTCTCTATCCAGAACTCCTCGAGTGGAATCGTTTTAGTTTCACCTTTCTTAATTTTATTAAAAAATCTTTTTTAAGGAAACTTTTGCTCCCCGAATGTTAATTGGAAAAAATAATCGACAGATTAATCGATTTGCGAAAATAATCGTTAGCCCTAGTATAAATTCAAATGAATACAAATGTGTTGAGATATCTATTAGGAAAAAAAAGGTAAAACTATTAAAATCTTTCTTTTAGCTGATGTGGTGATGTGGTGATGTGTTGGTCTATAACATACACATTCCTAATATAATAAATTCAAGTTTTTAGTTTTATCTTTGCAAATAGTGAAAGAATTTTATTCTGTAATTCTTCTGAAATATATGTGTGCATCATTTTTATTTTTTTACTTTTATTATTGTATAAAATTATTTTTCAGTAAACAACTGAAAGAAAGTCGGATTATTCTATGTAGAATGATAAGGGATTTACTTTAACCCAAATTTATATAAGTAATGGTCACAGGCTTTGTATTTTTTTTATTTTCAGTGTTCCAGTACCTGTGCAGGAGGTTTTCAGAGGCGGGTGGTGGTCTGTCAAGATGCGGATGGACGCAGCAGCAGTTACTGTGATGAACGAGTCAAACCTGCAGAGACCAAAAGCTGCGACTCTGGGCCCTGCCCTGTGTGGAACTATGGGGTCTGGGGAGAGGTGAGACGATTTTCTGACTTTGTTCTACTTTTGTCATCCTGTTTAAGACTGTTTTACTTGTGCCTGACTTTTTAAAAGGAAAATATTTATTGTTATCATTGAAAAGCATAAAAACACTCCAGGGCTTATAAATTAATTTGTGTGTGCACATAACAGACATCAACAGGCAAAATTTAAATTACAATGTTAAAAGAAACAAAAGCAAATAATAGCAAAAAATACCAATAAACTGAAACAGTTGAGAAAATAACATACATGATAAGGCAATATGTTACTAGAGCATCAGGTAACTAGAGAATATTTAAAGACCAGGAAGAATAAGTAAAAATAATAAAGGATAATTGGTTATGGGTGTACTTGTTATGGTTGAGCAACAACATGCTGGCCTCACAAGACGGATAAAAGTTGAGGTAAAGGGAGTAAATGTTTTTACTGGTTACAAAGTTTAAAAATCTCTGCTAAAGGTCTGACCTTTGAAAAGGGTTTGCATACATAAAAACACGTGTAAGCTTGCAGGTGCAAGGCATCTTGCATGTGTAAATAAACAGAACGACAGAGGGAAATTTAGATTGGGTGTGTGGCATGAAGATGCAGATCACATGCCTGTAACCAAAACCCTGTTTATTAATCCAGAAACTTACTGTGGGCATGTTTTTGTCTTGAATATCCCTCCTATGTTCCTTACTGTTGGTTTTTCATCACAATTAGGTAAGTATTTCTGTGATAGCTGGTTTTATGACTAATGCTATTGCAAGTTTATGTTAATAAAGTTGTATTGTTCCAAAAAAAGTTACCGTATTTTCCCGACCATAAGGCGCACCGGACTAAAAGGCGCACTCTCACTTATGTGTCCCATTTCTGTATTTAACACACACATAAGGCGCACCGCACCATAGGGCGCACCGCACATTTTGAGGAAAAAAAAAGACGTTTAAGTGCGCCTTATAGTCGTGAAAATACGGTATAAAACAAACCACTGGACTTTGTTTTGAAGAGGTTTCGCTTCCCATCTAAAAAGCTTTCTCAATTCAAAATGTCTGAAGTAGCGTTTAAGTTACAGGCTTATAGAGTAGCCGAAACAAAATCCTTGTTATAGTTTAGAAAACAAGCAAATTGGACCAAAAAAACAGGTCCACCTCTTAGTATTCGGGAGTCGTTGAGGTCGTTGTTGGCCTCCAAAACCCAATACTGCCTCTGAAAAGGGAGTCGTTAGGGTCATTGTTGGCCTAGCTAAACAGGTGAGGTGTTTTGATCCCCTGCAGGATGAAGAACATTGCGTTATGTGTTTTCGAGAGCTGAGTCCTGAGTCCGCCCCCTCTGTTTAAGCTTGATTTTTCTGACTCAACATAAATGGCTTCCTTCACTCCCCTTTCAAACCATCTGTCTACTTTGTCCATCAAAGCATCAAACATCTTGCCTGTTTAACCAGGCCAACAACGACCCTAACAACCCCCCATTACTGAGGGGTGGACCTATTTTTTGGTTCAATTTGCATGTTTTCTAAGCCCTAACAAGGCTTCTGTTTGGGCTACTCTATAAACCTAGAGCTACACATTAGTCCAGACATTTTGAATCGAGAAAGCTTTCTGGATGGGAAGGGAAACATCTCAAAACATGAAAAACAAATCTAGTGGTTTGTTTTTTAAGTGCTTTGGAACAACTAGGGCCTGGATGACTGAGAATCCTCACCAGAAAAATTGTATTGTTTAAATAAAACTTAAAGACAGCTTGACCACATTGGAACAACAATTGTCCTACTTCTGATAATCATTTCAGACCTATAGTCCTTGCAGCATCAGAATATTTATGTTTTCTCTGCTGTTTTTCTCAGTGCACACAGACTTGTGGTGGAGGTAGGAAGACTCGCTTAGTGGTGTGTCAAAGGCCCAGTGGACAGAGGCTCAATGACTACAACTGTGACATCCTGGAAAAGCCGCCCGACACGGAGCAGTGCAACCTGCAGTCCTGCCCAGGCTCTGCGTCCTGGCATCGCCAACCATGGAAGCCGGTACGATAGTACTAATTTCCCTTCAACACTTACTTTCCTCGATAAGGGCGCATTACTGTGAAAAGAGATCGTGTATTATGATATGACTTCAGGCAGAAAACTGTAGGAGTTCCTGAAGTAAATACCGGGTATCAAGCTTCACTGTTTACTAGCCAATTTCAGCCCACCCAGATGGGCCCCTCAGTGGCATGGTGCTGATTAGAATGCAAAGAAAGCAACAATGTGGCTCCACCTAGAGAGTCATTAAAAACACATGGAATCCATTTGGACTCCTCAAATTAAAACCTGTAAATCAGGACAGCCAAGTCCAGCAGTGTCTTAGATTTATAAAGGCATGCTTGTGGGAAGTATTTATTTCGTATATTAGGCGTGAAGAAAATTATCTCTGCTGTTATAGCTCTCTTCACCCTGTATCTGCAATACACAACTGTATATTTGTGTATAAGAGTTAATATTATGGTCTTTATTGAACAGCAAAAAAGGCCTTTAAATTTTTTTTTTTGTATGCATCTTTGTACAGTTTGATTCTTTTTTTTTTCTAAGAGCTAATTTTTGTAACAGAATATTTAATACTTCAATGGTGCTCCTGGTCAGACCTCTTGTACCTTAATATGGGTAAGTTCAATTTGTACAGTAGAACATATTTTTCATTCCTGTTTCTTTTTTTTTTTGTTAATACTCTCAATTAAATTGAATAAAAAAAAAATAATTTCCGTTGATGATCTCGAAAATCTTAATATCACAGTAAGAAAAAAGTTGAAATATTATCTTAGAAATTCTATAAAGTTATGTGAAATTACAATTAAATATAACATTATTTGGAGAAAAAAAAGATGATAGTACATGATTTTAGTTATCGTTAAGAATTTATGCTGTCTGGCGTATGCAAACCTCTGAGTTTGATAGACGGTGCCTTTGTAATCATTACCTCATCCCCCCTTAGAAAAACATATTAAGAAAGGTATATTTATTTTTATTGCAGTAGCATAATACACAAATCATTAAAAAACAGCAGGAACATCTTGGTGGGGGAACACATCCCCATTGAACAGACAATTGGCTGTCATCACCAGCACTATTGTGATGACTTTATGGGAGTGGCATCTGTTACAGGGAGCTTTGATCAGATGAAACAAAGGTTAGCCTAAACGATGATCTAAAACTGCAGGTCATTATAGGCTTGTAAGAAATGGATAAACGTCAGGAGAATCTTCTCAGGACCATTGTTAGGAGTGGTGGAGAATCGAAAGGAAATATTTGACATGGGAAACAAAGACACTTTCCTGCGGTGCATTAGAAAGTCAGCTCAAGACTCCTCTTTGATACGTGACTTTACACAGGAAAAAAAAATCTAAATCTATAAGTAATTTTTCTTAAAATAAATGCAACTTTGTCTCGAATTAACATTTAAAATAAAACGCCATTGTCGTATTTTGAGCATGTATAATGTAATTATCTTATTTTAAGAGTAAAAATACTCATTCCATTGGCAGATCACCTTATTTATCTACTCAAAATAAGGATAAATGACAGAAATGACTTTTTTTGGAAACACTTCAGCTTTGCAAACTTGGGCTTTTCTCTGGGCCATGGGTAGGAGCAAATGCATTAATAACATCAGAAAAAGCTTGACTTAGCTACCAGACACTTTCCTTCAGTCATAAACCTATCATTTATTGTAGCTTTATGTGCAGGTGGAAGAAAGTCTGCGCCGTAAGTGGTTGGGGGTGTTTAACATCCCTAAGCATATCTATTCAGAGTGAAATGCCATTTTTGTGATGCCTACTGTATGAAGAAATATAATTCTTGTTAAACTTCTGAGTATCTGCAGGTTTCACGACAAGTGAATAATTTAATTCAAGAACCCAGAGAGAAGGAAGTCTAAGCTTAAATTCGCTGCACTCTGGCTTGTCTGGTTATTCATTAACTTGTTTTATTTTATATGTACCTGTGTATCATTTCAGTACAGCCTAGAAGTTGTCTTAGATTCAGACTTGAAGACAGTTGAATAGTAAAGGCTGGAATTGCGCAGTGACAGTTTTGTTTGAGAAGTTGCAATATTCAGACATCATGGGTCCGTTTCATGAAGCAGGTTTACCTAAAAACTCTAAGTTTTATAAACCTGAAAACAGGGAAACTCTGACTTTTCCATTTCACAAACAGAGTTTATTCAACCTCTGTTTCAGTCGCCGTAGTAAGATTCTCCCCAGAGCTAAAATGGTCGGGAGCAGGTTTTCTTCAGTAAACTTGAATGTTCTCTGTGTCCACTATCTTCACAGCCAGTCACGTTGATTTATTTCCCGATTTAGTCCAATTTTTGTTATAGTTTTGTGTATATAAAAAATAACATATATCATTCACTAGGTCCATTACATGCATTAGGTTTTAAAGTCGTAAGGAAATCATATTTAAATGTCAAATCATTCATGCTTAAACATGTGAATAAATGTACTCTTTATCAGATGATATTGCACCAAAATTTAGAACATTTCTATTTTTAAACAAAATCCTGTCTTAATCTTGAACACCTACATTCGGCTAATCATATATCAAGTCAGTCAAATTTTTTTGGTCGTAGCCTCTTGATTCATATGTCGCAGCTAAAATAAGAATCTTCTCAGAGTAGTGGTGACCGTTACAGGTGTATAATTGGAGAACGAATTGTTGGCCTTTTCTCAACTCACAAGAACCCTAGTATGTCGCTAAGTATGTTCTTTAGGAGAACACAGAAAAGTATGGACTTAGGAAAAAACAGGAGTACGCAGCACAAATATGGGTCATTTGGAACAGAAGCATACTAATGACATCACCACATGCTCAGCAAATTTGGATCTGCTTTTCACTTCCTGTTATTAGTAGTCTCTAGATAATAATACATTCTGACTTTTTTCATTAATAATTGTTTAATTATTTCATTATTAATAATTAGCACAGTGAGATAAACACAAATCAAATGAACATTTTGCCAAATAAAACAAAAATATCGCCACCATAGCCAGCGGTCCTTGACACATGGCTTTGGCGAGAGAGGACAGCTGCAGATGGGCGAGGATAAGACCTGGCTGCCATTAGCCTCGGAGCTCCGAATGGCATGGTCCTCTCAACTTTGGAAAAAATGTTTTAAAAGACATATTAAATCAGTAAATGGGCCATATAGTGACACTTTTTCTAGTCTTTTTCTAGCCTCAAATGATCTTAAAACATACTTTCATTTACTTTTTCATACTTTTACTTTTTCAGCAACAAAAAAGAGAACTTTTAACTTAATACTCTAAGCTCTGTGAGCGCTCCATTGAAAGGTGACGGAGGAGACTAATCCATGACGTCCGATACAAAACTCTCCTCTTCTTGCATGTTTCCGCTGTCCATAGTGTTCCTTTGACGGTGTCGTTTCTAAGTCACCAATTTAGTGCTACTTGGTCCCAATGGAATTTCCCATTGGGAACCTACTAGCACTAAGTTGCTAACTGGTTAGCAAGATGCTTCTGAGAAACCGGCCACAATTAAACCTTCTTGCGAACCTTCCGCCATAACAATCTTGCCGTCTTGATAAACGACCAATCAAATTAACTTTATTCACTCCTGTAAAGTCGGGCACCACCCGGGAGAATTTGAAACTGCAATGTTGGGAACAGCCGTTTCCCTACGACTTTACATAGAGAGACAAACATTGCATGTCCGTTTGACAAGGATCTTATTATGATTGGCAATTTTTCACAGAGAAATAAATATTTATAGGAAGCAGATTCTAGATCTCAGTTGACAGGAAATCAGATGACTGATTTTTGGTTTGTTTAATATGAACGAGATACAGATCATTTTATTTTTATTTAGTTATATTTACAGTACATGAACAATTACTGAAATTATTTTCAGATTACACATATATAGAATCATTAAAATTCATTCAAATTAAATTACACTAGGGTTAGGATTCAGTCCATGAAAACAACCAAATGAGCCTTCTGGCACAATCTGAAGCCGTTCTGTAGGACTGATAGGCGCTTATAATGGCCATTTATTGGGATGATAACATCCGAAGCGTGGCTGCAAACAGCAACTTATTTACTGTGTAAACGAAGACTGAATCAACATGAGGAGGCACCCATGAGATGATGCACGTGTCCTATATATTAGAACAATGTTTTTATACTTAATTTTCACCTGCTGCCAGAAGATTTCACCGAAATAGATACATTGATCCACTACCACTCAAGAAATAATCTCGTAATATTATCAAGGTCACAGGCTGTGGCAAGTCGTTTTGATATGTACTAGTTACTGAAGTTACTGAAGCTACTGTATATTCCTGATATCTGAAAAAACATTTTTTCTTTGTCTTAAGGACCATTTCAAACAAAATTACATTCTCCACATCTAGAATAAACATTCTGGACATATAGAAATGAATTTCAGATCTCCACATTACTGGTCAGCATTTGTATTATTTTAACTATGAAAACACATTTTCAGATATCATAAATACATTTTCAGTCAAGCTGGTAAATGTCAGAACGGCCATTTAAAATGTTTAAAACATTCCTAGATATATAAAACTTAATTCTTACTAGTATAATTTATTTTTTTACTTACTAAAATTCAGTTTCTGCTACAAAAATGTAATTTAGAAAATATATTATTACCGTTCAATCGAGGAGTGTGATTTTGATCAGGAAGAATCTTATTTTAGTGATTTTCAAATAGAATTACCAACAGAGAGGAGTGTTTTTCATTAATGTAAAAACGGCCTGCCATAGACACATCATATAAACTTGTGCGTTAACTCGAGCAGCAATCTTCTTCTTTGCCACCTTCCTCTCCTTTGTGGCTGTAGTGCTGTTTCTCTGTCTTTTAAACACATTCTCCTTTTTCAGTTTATTTCTGCATTAAAATCTCTAGTTCCAGTGGGGTGAAATATGCACTTCCTGTTGTCTGTTGTCATGGTGACTCATCGAATCAGTGCTCCATTGATTGATAATGGCTATTCATACTTGTTGTGC